TGACTGTTGGAACACTGGCTTATCTGTAGCTGAGAGGAAGCAGCTGGGTAAGCTCATCAGGAAGGCCAGCTCTGTAATTGAATGCCACCGGACTCACTATTAGATAATGTCTCCCACTCAGTAAACGAAACTATTGCTGAACTGGAAAGCTCCTTCAGTAATAGACTGCTGTACCATAAATGCACTAGGGAGTGTTATTACAGATCCTTCCTCACAGCACCTGTAACACTTTATAACCATCACTGTTCCCAACAAGCTCAATAAGCTGTTTCATTCATGCATTTTTTTTTTTGCACAGTTTATCTCTTATTCACTAAAATAACATGCTGCTGTAATTTAGCACATCAGGTGTTGCTGCTTTTTTTTCACATATTCACTACAGTAAAAATGTTCACAGCTGTGTATTAATTATTCTATTCTTCAGATGACTACACAGTATTTATATTTGTAAAAATAGTGTACAGTACAGTACTTTTTAAGGTCTACATTTGTGTGACCACTTTTGCTGTAATGCCTTTGCTGCTGTAACACCACAATCTCCCCATTGTGAGAGAATAAGGGGATTTTCTATTCTATTGAATAAAGAGATTTTTTATTCTAAAGTGATTAAGTTTTTTATAGGTACTTAGGCTCATTTAAAATACATCTTTAAGTTTATCTCCGGCTGTTGACAAAAGCTAATGTGAGAGCAGGGTAGTTCCTTTTTTTTTTAATTGAACTCTGCTTAAACAGTAAAATAACATTGTAAAAAAAAAAAAAGGAAAAGGTTTTTTTCACTAATTACCACCAAACTCATTCCCTTACCCTGGAGCAAGTCAATGACCTTCCAAGTCTTATTTCTTTAGTCATGAAATTAGCAGGTAGAGTGATGAACAGAAGGATAGAATAGAGCAGGAAGCCCAGATAATTGCTGATCTTTCCCAAATGTTGTTTGGGGGTCAAGCGGAAGAGGCAACATTCGTCAACACAGAAGCAAAGGCACAACCGGGGAACCTATGGAGAGAGGATATGGAGTTAGAGGGATACTCCGGCAGTCAGGAATTCAGCAGTCGAATTTGTGTGTTTAAGGCAGAGATGGGCAACTCCAGTCCTCAAAGGCCAGTATCCTGTAACTATTAGATTTATCCTTGCTCCAACAAACCAAATCAAATGGCTAAATTAGAAGTCAGTTTCTCAAGTCCTTTTAATAGTCTAAATAATTGATTTAGGTGTGTCTAGATCTATTTCACTTGTGTGTCAACTTTCTTCTATATTTTCCCCAGTATTTATTTTCCTGGTTGTCGTTGTTCTTTATTAGTTTCCTCCATTGCTCTCATGCTTCTATTGCCCTGTTATTTGATTGTGTTATTTGTGCAGGACCAGTATGTAGTTCTTTTTTCTTTATTCTCAGGGAAGTGATAATAAAAAAAAACAGTTCCTTGAAAACCGACTATAAGGCCATGGACTCAGTAAACCAAGAAGTGTTTTGAAAAAAATGATATACCGTAGCCTCTAGTGACAGCCATAGACTGGCATATCAGCAAGTTGATTTGAGATAGATAAATGGTTGAGCATTGTAAAAGTAATACATATCAAAGCCTTATGATATAGCTGTAAGAGCACATAGTGTAAACACTTGGCATGGCATGCATAAAGAAAACAATGCCATTGTCAAAGATAATTATTTAGGCAAGTATCTTAAAAGGAACTATAGCAGGATATATATTGGTTAAGATCAGCCAGTGACTAATGCCTGGAACAGTTTAGGAGCATTTGGTGGTTGTTAAAAATTAAGTGGTACTCTCAGGTTTTATAGTGCTCTAAATTTAAAGAGCCATAAAGAAATGCCATATCTAATTTTGGTACGTGTTGAAAACTCTGAATTAATATGCACAAACTGAAACTCAGATTAAAATTTGTTAATAAATTTGACCATGGCCATTAAATATATCCTCATTGATCTGTTTGAAGATTTTAAATCATCAATCTGTCTGAATATTTTAAATTTGATTATATTTGGGTAAACCGCTGCACTGACAGCACCATCAGAAATACAAGATTGTAATATGCAGTCAAATGGTCATCAACTTTATTTGAAATATTTGATTTGGGTTGTTTTTTCTTATCAGGTTTGTTAGTTTTGAGAGATGTTCCAAGTTTTTAAAATAGGGTAATGCTAGATATCAGTCCAAAGAGCTACAAATCAAATATCATTATGGGTAGTATCATGCAGAGCTTAAGTTATGTTTAATTAAAAGACATGACATTGTCAACTTCCACATTAATACTTATCTTTGATTAAAACTGCTTTAGGTACAAATAAAAATGAAAAACATGAAAATATTTTTTTCTTCAACCAATACAAAAAGCTCTTTAGAGATCAGGATAACAGAAAACTGAGTTTTGAGTAAGAAATTAAAAGTTATTTCAGTTATGACTACAACTTTCTTTTTCATGAGTTGCTCTGGCTATGGAAGTTACTTTAATTAGGTGAAATAACTATTGGTAGGATAATAATCCTAATCATTAACTTGATCATAGTTTCTGGTGACATTTTTTTTTATTATTAATATGATTAATTAAAACAAAGAAATGCATAAAAAGATCATTTTGAAATCTGCTTTAAAAAAATAATAGCTGCTGCAGTTCTATCTGGAAGTTGACATAGCATCATCTAGAGTGTCACTGTCATTTTATTGTGGTCACTTAATAATACATTTCTGAATGTATTTTTGTATGAGAAAACAACAAAAAATTCCTTTGTGTTTTTTTTAACAAGCATTCAATACAAATGTTAAGAAATTACTGTGGACTTGAACTTTTACACAAAAGAAAAGAATTATACTGTATACTGTATATATGTATATTGGAATTATTCTACTGTTGAGACATGACACTATGTTAGGTTTTGAACTGTATGACAAAAACTGTTACTATTGATGAAAAAAAAAAGGGTTAGGAAGTTCAAGAGCATCACAGAAACAACCAAGGCTCAAGCGTAACATCATCTGGAAAACGCTGTGGGACAAGCGTTACTGGTGGACTTTGTGGTTGCTGGACAAGACAGAGCTTGGATTCCTGCTTCAAAATGAGCATATGTAGTGAATATTGAAAATTGTGGTCAACAAAAATATTGTATGTTATAATTGCCTTCTTGAAAAGATGACTACTTTACCCATAATGAAATATATGTGTGAGGGAGTCCAAGTACCCTTTAAAATGAAAGAAACACTCTACCAATATTTGTGTTTGGCAGTGGTAGCCAAAAGCTATTGGGCTGGATAATGACAGTACCAGTGGTATTGATGAGCTGCATGCAGCGCATAGAATAACAACTACTTCTAAGTTAGTTCGTTTTGATCAAATTTACAGACGTAAGTTTAAATTTTAAAGATTTCCTTATAATAAGGGTGATCATATAGATGACCAGAATTTTGCCAGTACCTCACTTACAGTAAACGTGCTAAGGAACTTTTAAACAAATGTGTGTATGTATAATGTTGACCCTTTCATAGATCAGTGAAACTTCACTAAATTCAATCATGTGTATTTAGTTCGTTTTTTGTAATCACTGGTTATATGTTGTTACATCATTCAAACCCAGAAAACGAACCTCTGAAATGAATAATCAAAAGACATAGACTGATATTACATTTATACCAATACCTATTTCCGGTTTATTAAGTAATTAAACTTCTGGCTACCACTTTAAATACTTTAATGTTGATATTTGAAAGACTATGAATTAAAGTAATCTATAATAAAAGAGTTACACACCGATTTTTAACATGTAGAGTGAGACAGCCAAATTTACTGACTGTTTATCCTTTATGTAGCACAGAAGCTGGAAAAATAAATTTAGCCTTTCGGGGCTTTTTTATTTTGGCTGCTCATATGCTTTCCTGAATCTGTCATGTGTAACCCTGTAAGTGTCGTCTTTTACTTCAATTTTACATACACCATGCTTGAAGTTGAATAGAGAACACTTTTTTTTTTTATCTAAAAATGAACTGCTTTAATTTTTTGCAATCAGATGACAAATCCCTGTAAACCTATGTTGTGGCACTGAAAAAATCTAAATGTGCACTATAAATATATCCTTCTTTCAATGCCAAACACGAATCAGTGTTCCCTGCCTAAGCCTAGTTTATTTTTGACCATGGTAATACCATCATCATATACGGCAAGATAGCAATTTATGAGCCAGGTCCCTGCAGAACTTCAAACATGAAAGTTATTCCTGGATACAGTCCAAGATTTTTTTTTTCTCATTAAGAGCATTTAAAATATTTTACTTGACAAATGCAGTGCCAACCACATATATACATACATTTTCCTACCCTTAACTAAGGACATTAATAATATTTATCTGAATATTTTTTTGGGGTTAAATGACCTCTGCTGGCTTCCCCTCAAACTCCATTCCTAGGAGATTTACAACACCTCCCCAGTTCAAACGGAAAGTCCATTAACTAGAAGTCTATTTTGGATGTCTAAGGCATTTATGTCCTTCTATGAATTCAATGCTCATTAATTGATTATTAACAGCTATAAAAAATTAACAAGGCCCGCACGTGTCCAATAAACCAGGTAAACCTAAAAAAACATCATAACATAATAAATAATATCATCCTTTAACTGTTAAGTAAAGTTTGGCATTTGCCAGTTGATACACTGTGAGCATCACTTTGCCTTTATAAACACAGCCATCATTGGAGTTTCATTTAAAAAACAAAGCAATTAGATAACTTATACATTAATCAGTATAGGCAGGCTTTTCAGTTTAGATTCAAACGCATTAAATAAAAAATGCTAGCAGATAAAACACTGTTTTTAGAAGCCACACTGTATTTCTGTTGTAAAATGAACCAGTTTGACATTTCTAACAATCTTTTGGCTGTGTCCTCTGTAATATGAAACAATTGTTTGTGTTTGACGGCCTAAACATCAAGCGATGAGGTGTCAAGCATTCCTGACCAAACTGAGTGGGGAAGATATGCTGGGGAGGCTGGGCTGCTGTGTATAAAAGCAGCAGCCCTAGACATTTGCTCCAACTGGCAGGCATCTAAGACAGGTGAGTGCACTCATATTTTCCTGTGTATTTTATGTACTGCTGTATTACAGCATTTCACTTAATGAACAGCTCACATATTTTGATTACTTATAAATCAAAGTCTGATGATTCATGTTCTAGTCAGCAGGATATCAAAACAACTAGAATATTTTTCACATGATACTGAAATTTTAAAAAAATTCTTTTTCAAACCATTATTTTTTATTTTGCAGCATCTTGTCATACACAGGGTAGTGAGGTATTTCTGTCTCTATCAGCTGAGGTAAACATTCAGAATCAGTTTTAAATGTTTTAAGTCTTTTTGCTTTATAATTACTGTGAAGTTAAATTGGACAAATCTCACATAGGCCCCAATAACAGTGCCACCATGAGTACCGACGCAGAGATGGAGCAGTATGGCCCGGCAGCCATTTACCTCCGGAAGCCAGAAAAGGAGAGGATTGAGGCCCAGAATACTCCTTTTGATGCCAAAAGTGCCTTTTTTGTGGTGGATCCTGATGAAATGTATGTCAAGTGCAAACTTGTGAAGAAGGAGGGTGGCAAAGCCACAGTTGAGACAGATGGAGGAAAGGTAAATTTGATTAACTATAGGAAAATGTGTCCACCTTGCACTTATATAACTGTATTTATCATGCAGGAAATACACTTTTACTGGATTTTGAATTAAAACAACTCACGACTTATCTGATTAAACTTTTTGTAAAGAAAATAAACTAACTTATAACTGTTGGTTCTTAATAGACTGTAACAGTCAAAGAGGATGACATCCACCCAAGGAATCCTCCAAAGTTTGATAAAATTGAGGACATGGCCATGATGACCCACCTCAATGAGCCCTGTGTGTTGTACAACCTCAAAGAGCGTTATGCATCCTGGATGATCTATGTGAGTTTTTTACCTTTCAAACACTGTTTAAAAAGAAAAACATTATCCTTTCATGCATGTATGCTAAGAAGTTGTTTCCGTTGTCTTATATGATAACAGACCTATTCAGGATTGTTCTGCGTGGTGGTGAATCCATACAAGTGGCTTCCGGTGTATGATGCTGTTGTTGTTGGAGGATACAGAGGCAAGAAGAGGATTGAAGCTCCACCTCACATCTTTTCCATCTCTGACAATGCCTATCAGTTCATGCTCACAGGTAAGACCAAAAATATAAGGGTCATAACAACAGTATGAAAAAAGAAATCTTACCTATCGTTCATATGAGATTTATACAGCTACTTAAGCATTATCATGTCCATTATAGATCGTGAGAACCAGTCTGTTTTGATCACGTAAGTATTTCAAATACTCTATTATATGATGAAATGTCAAAAAAATGATATTTAAAATTTGAAAATATATCTCTTTTACCACAGTGGAGAATCCGGTGCTGGAAAGACTGTTAACACCAAGCGTGTCATCCAGTACTTTGCAACAATTGCAGCTCTGGGTGGCAAAAAGGATCAGCCCACTGGCAAAATGCAGGTAAATATGTGTTTTAATAAGTAAGTCCTATGAAAACATAGTTGGATGTTCAAAATAATTAATGTGAATCTGCAGGGCTCCCTTGAAGACCAAATTGTTGCTGCCAACCCTCTGCTAGAGGCATACGGTAATGCCAAGACAGTCAGGAATGACAACTCTTCCCGTTTTGTAAGTTCAGTCAACACTAAAATGTTCCTTAATGTTTTATTCCTAAATTCATAAACATGTAACTAGTGCTTGTAATTTTGCTTAGGGTAAATTCATCAGGATCCACTTTGGCACCAGTGGAAAACTGGCCTCAGCTGATATTGAAACATGTAAGCCAAAAATATGACGTTATCAGCACTTAAATTGAGAACATAATGAAGTTTTACTAAGTCTCTGTTTATATTCATGTTATCCTCAGATCTGCTTGAGAAGTCCCGTGTCACCTTCCAGCTGTCTGCTGAGAGGAGCTACCATATTTTCTATCAGCTGATGACAGGCCACAAGCCTGAGCTCATTGGTAAAAGCCCAAATACCAAGGCTTAACTTAAATAATGTAATATTATGAGACAACAAATCCTACAGTGATTTGCCTCCCTTTTTTCAGATGCCCTGCTGATCACCACCAACCCCTATGACTTCCCAATGATCAGCCAGGGTGAAATCTCTGTCAAGAGTATCAATGATATTGAGGAGTTCATTGCTACAGATGTAAAATCACACTTTGGTTTTGGGGGGATTATTTACATAAATAATTTGTAATTAAAGATTTCCTTTCTACACAGACTGCTATTGACATCTTGGGCTTTACTGCTGATGAGAAGTTCAACATCTACAAGCTCACTGGAGCTGTGATGCATCACGGCAACATGAAATTCAAGCAGAAGCAGAGAGAGGAACAAGCTGAACCTGATGGCACTGAGGGTAAGAGAAAATATTTGACAAATTTAAACTTTGCTTCATGGTGTACTGTCGGGTTTTGGTATAATTGAACAATAGCCATCTTCTTTCCACAGTGGCAGATAAAATCGCCTACCTCATGGGTCTGAACTCAGCTGATATGCTGAAGGCTTTGTGCTACCCAAGAGTCAAGGTCGGAAATGAGATGGTCACCAAAGGTCAGACCGTCCCACAGGTAAATTAAAACCCATCTGGGATGGCGTGCTTTATTTCTGCCCAGTTATCACAAATAATTTCTAAATGACTGTTACACAGTAGTTTATAATATAAAAGTGCAAATTTCTTCTTCTAGGTCAACAATTCTGTCAGCGCTCTGTGCAAGTCTGTCTATGAGAAAATGTTCTTGTGGATGGTCATCCGTATCAATGAGATGCTGGACACAAAGCAGTCAAGAGCCTTCTTCATTGGAGTCTTGGACATTGCTGGATTTGAGATCTTTGACGTAAGTGAAGAAAAACATGGAAAAATAATGAAAAAAATCTATAGTTTGCAATTAATTGCATTTTTATGATTATAGTACAACAGCTTGGAGCAGCTCTGCATCAACTTCACCAATGAGAAACTGCAGCAGTTCTTCAACCACCACATGTTTGTCCTGGAGCAAGAGGAGTACAAGAAGGAAGGCATTGAGTGGGAGTTGATTGACTTCGGTATGGACTTGGCTGCCTGCATTGAGCTTATTGAGAAGGTGAGTAGCAGTTTTGTCTGAGCTAAAGCAGATTAATCTTGATATACATTTGAA